GTCCAGGTGTGTGCGTCTTGTTACTCATAAGTCAGTGTCTGTGTGCGACTCGTTGTCTGGTGAATCCCTCCCTGCTGCATCTTCTGAGTTCCTGTGCTTCTTCGTGCCCCTGGACTGATGTGAGTACAGCTCCTTCACTTTAGTGATGGCCAAATGAAGCAATAAAACAGTATTGAACCACTTTGCCAATTGTATTGAACTTGGGTTCATCGTTCAAAGGTTCATTTCAGTGACATCTAGTGGTGAAATAGTAGATGACAGATTTTTAGTAGATGACACACACTGTGTTTTTATATACTGTTTTACTGTATGTTCAGCTGATTCAGTAGATATGTACCGGTATCTGGGATTGAGAAGGTGTGCTTTAGGAAACAGTAGGTGCAGGGAAGGTGGGTTGTGCTTGTGTAACTCAGACAGTCATGAAATTTGGGGATGGGAATTCAGAGGTTTTTATTTAGGAATGAGTTTTCCCACTGTTTTTGGACTCAGGCGATTTTTTTTTTTTTTTCTTTTTTGGCTGACAACTTCTCCAGCTTTTGAAAAAACACGTTCACAAGGAACAGATGAGGCTGGTATGCATAAATATTGTTTAGCCAACAAGAACAAATGAGGATAAACATTTCTGTGATCATTCCAGTAGGCCAGCGGATCCTCCGATCTTTCCAAGGGAGGATCAGACAAGTATCTCTGAACTTCAATTGTGGCATCTGATGTATGATTCCTGTGAGCTCGTGCCAGTGTAGCATCTCGATCAAAACTTGTCCAAAGGTTGGAAAAATAAAGATTTGACATTCATGGACACAGACAAGTTTCTGTGTGTGTGTGTGTGTGTGTGTGTGTGTGTGTGTGTTCATAATTACCAACTTACAACTGTCTGTGGAGGATGGGTTTTGTGCGTCTGTTGCTGGTTGAGGTGAACGATCATCTGACGAAGTCGCCACTCGTGTGTGTGCCTCACCAGTGCTGCACATTCAGCTGTAAGTTTCCGTGCAGCATTTTGGGCCTTTTCTGGACTGTAAAAGCCGATGGCTTTAAATCTTGGATCCAGCAGTGTGGCGAGTGACAGGACAGTTGAGCTCTCCAGGTTGTCAAACTTATTTTTGAGGGTTGCAATGATATTCCGTCCAAGATGTGTTGCTGTTACATTTGTGGTCCTCAGTATTGAGGACCCGGGCTGCTTGAAATGACATCTTTACAAGTGGAATCACAACTGAACCACTCCTAAAAGTAAAGTGGCCATCTTCATATTATCCAGGACGCAATGACAAGTTACTGCCAGATATGCATCCATGTTCGTGGAGGGCCACATATCAGAGGTCAGGCTCAGTCCCTCCATGCTCAGCAGTTGAGCCTTGGCTTTGGTCTTCTCCTCCTCATATTTCTCCTCCACCATCTTCTTCAGAACCTGTCTGGAAGGCAGAGTGTATGTGGGGTCAAGCTTTCCCACAAACTCTTTGACACCTGAATCGTCCACAATGGTAAAAGGCTGAGAGTCCTTCACCAGCAACATCACCAGAGCTTCATCCAGCACCTGCTTTTGGTCCACTAAGACCGAATCAAACAAATAAAACTGTTATCTGACATCATGTTACTGTAACATTTTTAGTGCTGTGTGGATAAACATCTATATTGAACATAACCTCCCATGAACAGTGTTCTCCTGCTTGTTTTCATGCTTGGCTCTGTAGCGTCTCAGCATCGAGGACGTATTATTATGCACCAGTTGCATGGAACAATACAAGCACTGGACCTGTATGAACAGTAATGATCAAACAAGAAAACAAACTGTCGGGTCATAGACATCAATTAAATCACCACGCATGCAAATGTACCTAACTTACCCCCCTTTGCAAAATCCTGGATCCACCCCCAGCTTACTACTGTTCAAGTTACTTGTTTAGTAATAAACTACTCACCTTAGTCACTGCTTCATACGTCATCGCTTGCGTAACTTGCTCTGCCGCAAAGCACGCTTCGTAGCAGTGGTTCAAAGAAGAAAGCAACTTTGAGTTTGAAGCAAGGATCGGGGCTTCGGTGTCAGACTGACATCACTACTTCACTTTGTATTCTTATTTACTCTCTGGTCTCTGAGTCCTGCCTGCACCACTGGGTTCAGCTCCAAAACTACAGCTCTGTCACACCGTTATTATATGGTGTTCCTCAGGGTTCAGTCTTTGGTCCTATTCTGTTCCTTTTATACATCAGCCCCTTTGGAAAGATTATCAGTAGCTTTAACAATGTGTCTTACCATTTGTATGATGATGATTTTTCAATTGTACTGTTCCTTCTATGATTCAGAATTACAAGTTAACTGAGTAAATTGTGTTTCCCAAATGGCTCACAACTGCCTTCAGTTAAATTCTAACAAGACTTCTTGGATCAAACGACGCCTCGGTTCTCTGGGCTCCTCTTCTCAGCCGATCCTCAGAAACTTGGTGTTCTGTTCGACCAGTCGATGTCTTTGGACAAACATTCAAAGCTTCTGGTAAAAACCTGCTTTTTATCATCCGAGAAACATTTCTAAACTGAGGGCAAAGTTATCCAAATCTGACTTGACCTCGTTAAGTTATTTCTTCTTGTTTATTGGAATTCCCTTTCTAGTTGTTTTAACAAATCTGCCGTCGCTCGTCTCCAGTTGGTCCAGAACGCTGCTGCGAGGCTTTTAACAGGAACTGGAGACTTAAAGAAGCAAAACATGAAGTTGCATAAAGAGACAAAAAGCACAACAGACATGAAAGATCTCATCTCACACCAGTTTTATCTTCTCTCCATTGGCTGCCTGTTGAATTGAGAATTAAAAAATTTTAGTCTTGATTTTTAGAGTTTTAAATGGACAGGCCTCCCAATACATCACTGATGTTGATCCCTTATTGTTCAGCCCACACCCTTCAGTCTGAACCTCCTAAAGGTTCTCAAGACCCGGTTTAAACCTCGGGGTGACTGTTCCTTTCAGGCCGTAGCCCCCAGGCTGTGGAATGCCCTGTCTCCGTCTCTTCGTGGGGCCGTCTCTGTTGATTCCTGTAAAAAGCAGCTTAAGATGTTTTAATTCAGACAAGCTTTTAGTTCAGTGTTTTACTCAACTCTTCTTATTGTTTTTATCAACTCTTCTTATTTTTTTTATTTAATTTTAAGCCATTCGCTGTATTTCTGTAAAGCTCTTTGTCGTTTTTATCCATGAAGTGCTATATAAATGCAGTTTACATTACTTACAGCAGAGAACTATGGTATCTGATCAACCAGAGGGGGCGGGTGTTGAGGCCTGACGGTGTCACAATGGAAGGTCCATAGCTCAGAAGCTGGCAGAGTCTGCAGCAGGACCAAGTGCCTTCTCTCTGCACCCATGGCTGACTTCCTGCCACAGGAAACAGAGCAAACCTCACTGGAACAAACTCCCCAAAACAAAGCAGCTGTTGATTTAATCATCTCTGAATCACTCATCCAACGTTCTTCCTTTTTGTTTCTGCTCAATTTACCCTCAGCTGAAACACGTGAAACGTGTTCATCTCCTTCCATCAGTTCGGACCCGGTCGATCAAACAGCTTTAATGCTTTCACTAATAAAAGGACAATCCATTGTAACAAATTCTATTTGTGTCTGGATCAATAAAAACGGCCCCTTTAAAGAGAAAAGGCCGGCTGGTCACATCCTGTGCACTCACGTGAACGGCAATATGAGTTTTGGAGAGTGTTGCGTCAGAGGCCTTTTTACATGAAAGAACGACAGCTGGGTCGAGGGAAGGGGCTTTTAAAAGCAGAAGTTTTCCTGAATAATTTCTGAGAATGCATAATGCATGACCCTGGAAGGAAAGCAAGGGGGCGAGCAGAGAGTGAATGTTGGGAAGAAAAGGGATTGAAATCTCTCCAACATCCACTTCCAAGAAAACAAAAGCATCCCGTTCAATTATCTGTCGGTTTTCTTTCTAACGGACGTTTGAATTCCATTAACTTGTCCCGATCCGCTCCCAATTCCTTTTTGACCTTGAAGCGGAGCTGGACTGCAGAGGCTGTCGCAACGACATTCTCCTCTAATATTAGAAGATTCTGTTTTGGCTAAAGATGAGGACACTTATCACCACCGAGGTCTGAGGAAAATAGCCACAGAAAAGCACAAACATTACCATTTTATTTTCACTTGTTAAAAAAAAATGATAATCTGTATGCATCCTTTATGATCGTCATCATTCTTTGTTAAAATCCAGTCTCTCTTGTAAATGAGTCCGAGGCTCAATGGGATTAACCTGTAGAAATAAAACCAACAAAGTCCATGCTCAATAATCCAGGTATACAATCCAACAACTTTCAGTCGGGTCATCAGGGCAGTTTCTATTAGAAATAAGATTTGAATGAATTAAGATATTAAACACTATTATCAGGATATGTACAGACCTACACATGGAAAACTACTGGAGAAAACTTTTCAAATGGCACCATTTGCTGTTGTTCAGGATAAACTTTTAAAAGTTGGATTTTAAACTGCCAATCAACCATTGGTGTATTTGGAGCGCCCTCTTGTGGAGAACATGCAGAGTTTGGAAGAAAGCTGCAGAAGTTTAAAACAAATGAAATAAAAATGAAGTCTGTCCAAAATAAAAGCGTTTAAAGATGGAAACGGTTGACTTTTTAAAGGGACTGCGCGCGCACGCCTCTGACTGCGCGCGCAGCAGCCTGCTGTTTTTTTTTTTTTGTTGTTTTTTTTTTATAGCTGTGGCATTCCTCTTGCACGCGCATGCGGGGGTGCGTGTCGGGTGGAGGAGGAGAAAAGCTGTGAAGCTGCAGCAGTGTCGGCGCGCGCGAGGCGGCCGAGCGGAGTGGAACCGAATCCTGCGCGTTTTAGGACGAAACAAAGAGACTGCAGAAAGCACCCCCCCCCCCCCCCCCCCCCCCC